TCTGTGTTTGTATTCAGTACACAGAAGTAATACAAAGGGAGCAGCACTAGGCTTGCGGAGCACTGACTGGCCCAGGAAATGGGGATGGGGGGCCGTTATCTGTCGCTGTCATCAGTATGCACACACCAGAGTGTGTTACCTCACAGCCATGCAGCAAACGCTCCTGTCTTTCTGTTAACCTGTGGGAACCTCATTAGTTATTTAAATCAAATTACAAATAAAAGCAAAATAAAGGCAGGCACATGTGCAAGTTTCGTGTTGTGGTCTTTTCTCTAAACAATAAGCTTTCACAGAGAAAAAGAGCAACCCAGAAAGCCCCATAAGACATCCTTGTTTCATTAGGAATTTCAACCTTATTCCCACCTCCCGCCCCCCACCCCGCAAGGTTAAAAACAGAGATGGCTCACTAGTACAAAGTATTTCACAGCCCATTCATTCATTTTACTGATGTTTGAGTCCTGCTGTGTGCAAAGCACAAATAATCGGCAGAAACAGTTTCCACCCACACAAGGGCAGCTTGCTCTTGGATAGCACTATACTTCCTACCATTGAAAATTGATGAAGAAACTTTTAAAAATATTCCGGCTGAAACAGAACTAGCTTCCTGTTTTTAGTATTTTAGCATACAGTGAATCTCTGACAGTGGTTTAGTATTCCTTTTTGGGAAAGTTATTTTGATTCTGTTTAATTTTCGGGAGAATTTTAAGATACTGTAGGTGTACACTCACTCACACAAGATCAGTGATAACCACATCACTGGCTGGGCATGACTGCTGTTCCACAGGGGCAGCTATAAACTATTGTGAAAAACAAATCAGAGTTGTTGTTGTTTTAGGTTTGCTTTGAGAACTAGATCATGAGTATTAGATTTTAAATTGTCCTTTCATGAGATTGTGATGAATGAGACTGAGCTTTTCTTTCATGTCTATAAATGTTCTCTTTTAAAAATATTTTAGAAAATTAGCCAAATTATGGCTTGCAGTAGTTATTCCATCGTGGAAGTGCAGTTCAGGACCTGACCCAGTTACTGTCATCTTTCACCCTGTTTGAGGCCACGGTGTCTTTCACCAAAAGGCAGGGAGGCCCTTCGTCTTCGCGGGCGAGGATGGAGCGTCTGTGCTTCAAGAGGGCTCGCCTGCCCTGTAGCCAAATGGGGCTTAGGTCCAGGGCTCACAGCTGCAACAGCTGTGCAGTGGAAAGCTTCAGGAAGGCTGAGGCAAACAGGCAACACCTCAACCCCTGTGGACCTACAGGTTGTCTCTCTATCACATGGAACGTTTTCTTGTCCCTAGCAGATGTAACGCTGCTCCAGGAAATACATGTAGCCTTTGAAAACCCATTTCTGTGTCATTTGGGTAGGCCCTGGGGAACTGGCCTTCAGACCTGGAGTCAGATGAAGGAATTCTTTTCTGGGTTTGATTATCCATCCCCTCTATTTGCACAGATAATCCAACCTTGCCACTGGGATGTGGTGACAAGTGATTCCTCACAGAGGAGGGTGACCTGAGTTTTATAATCACGCTGATAGCCTCAGTTTTTGCTTGAGTCAGAGTGTAATTCGGGGCTCTGTGGTAGCATCTGATGCATCTATCCTTGGTCTGTTTTCCTTAGTAGTAGTAGTAGTACAGCAGTTAGTGGAGAGATGTCAGTGATGCCAGGTTAGTTAAAGTAGTTGCATTTGTTTTTCCTACAGATAAAAACTTGGAAGAATTGCTAGGCCCCAGGGGAGAGTGAACATTATCTGTATTGCCAAACCCTACTTTTAGACTGGGATGGAGGACGTTAGCCGCCAGAACCTGTTTCACCGGGTGTTGGAACTCCAGTGGAACCGGAAATGTGGATGAGCCTCCTTTTTGAACCTGCCTCCATCCCACTGTTAAGAAAGGCACTTCTCACTTGGCCTCCTGCCGTAGACAAGCTGTTCTTGGAATCTCCACAGCTTTTCCTTAATACCTGGTGTTGCGTTGCTTGTGTTATATGATCCAGTTGTGACACCTGTGGTCCTGCATGTGGGGAGTCTAGGTGATAAAGTGGTTTCCAGATAGAATTGGCCTTCTCTCCCTTTCTTGAAGTGACGGTAGTTAATTTGGGCGGAAGGTAAGCAGAGCTCATTCTCAAGCCACCTCTCTGCACCAATTAAGCATCATCAATTCCAATAGGCCATTTTCTGGATAAAAGGGAATTAGGCAACATTTTTCTTTCCAAAAGGTGCGGAACCTGTCAGTAAGGAGAGGATGAATGGTAACTCCATAATCTACACTAGTTAAATTCCACACTGAGTGTCTAAGGGCTGGGCACTCAAGTGGAAATCCGGAAATACCCGCCCGTGTCTTTATTCCTCTCTGCCAGTTGCATAGGACTGTTTTATTCATCTGTAAGTGGGGATGTACAACAGCTCCTTAGCAAAGCCGTGAACTCCCTTCTCCAAGCACCCCAGACAAGTCACAAGGCCAGTGCTTGCTTTATTGAGTCCCACGTGAAGTGTGTGGCGCTTTAGTTTGGAAAGCAGTGAAATTTAGGGTAATGGGGGAAATACTTCATAGAAAACAAATGCTGTTTGGGGGTTTTCTTTTCTCTGTGCATTTGTTTCCTGTACAGAGAGACCTTTGAGCATTGCATTGGTTTTAAATCTTACGGGAATCTAAGCCATTATTGCTTTCCTTGGATTGTTCCGGATGAATGAATGTTGTTGGGAAGTACCGAGAGCAGCTCGTGCTAAGCTTCTTTCCTTTCCACCCTGTGGTGTGTGTGACCCTCTAAGTAGGCCCCGCAGAGTGGAGTCTGAGAGCCCTTTGCTACCCCACCCGCACTTGATTGAGTGGGTGAGTGCCATGGCTGCTGAAATGGTTACTGCCTGAGCTTGCCTGCTGGAGGCACAATGGGCTCAGGGGCTAGCAGACATGCGGCATTTGGGCATTTTAAACACCACTGCTCTGCTTATCAGCTCTGTGCCCTTGATCAGGTAACTTCACTGTTCTGAGCTTGGAGACTATGCTTGTCTCAGTGGGTCTTAGAACTAAAGAGAAGCCGTTAGTGCTGGAGCAGCCCCTGCACGCAGTGGGTGCTCTGTCAGTGTTGGCCTGCCCACCCCCACATTCACCTTCTTAGGCTCTTTAATTCAATGATACCACTAAGCAGCAGCTCTCCAACTGGTCATTTGTGTCTTTAAAAGGGGGGTAGGTGGACAATAACAATTTCAGTGCTTTTCACAGGAAAACACAGAAACTTTAATCTTATGTTCCCTATTCTTGGCAGTTTTGACCTCTGGCCTAAGCATGACCAAAGGGCATTCTTTCTTGAAATACTGTTTTTCAGCCTCCTGAGCTAGGGCATTTTGCGTTGACTCCTAGAACCTTAAATCTGGAAAGATTTAAAGAGGAACCATGAGATTCTGTGAGGGGCAGGGACCTCACTCAAGGTCACTTGGTGAGCTGGTGCAAAGCTGGGGGCAGAACCCAGATCTTCTCCTAGTTCTCCACAACGTGCATCCCACTGCAGGGGAAGCCGAGAGCTGTGCAGGGGAAGCCGAGAGCTGTGCATCTCAAGCTCGCTACCCCCAGGAGAGCCCGGCCTCTCCTGGGACCCAGGAGGCTGTGACCGGACGGATGGCACGACCCAAACACTTGTGTCCTCAGGCCTAAGCAGCCGTTTAAAAACTTGGTTTTGGAAGGACTGATATTCCTGGGACTTAGAGGGGTCTGACACTCTAGATAGTATCTGAGACACACCTGTTCTTTTTCAGTTATTAATTTAGCAAATACTTTGGGTACCGACTAAGGGCCAGGCAACATAGTAGGTGCTAGGGAGATGGCAGCAAACAAAGTCATACTGAAAAGGGGTTCTAATCACTGGCAATCCTGCATGCAGCCAAGCACTTTTATTTCCTTTCAAAGAAGAGTGTTCTTTTTAAAGACAATTAAATATTGGCTGCCCACATCCCATCAAGCTAATGGGAAGTGTCATCTCAGTCATTCTTGTCAAACATCAGGAAACCCCTCTCGGGTCATTTGTCGTGGTTATGGCTGAGGTGCCTGCTCTCTGCGCCCATTTGGTCCCTTTGGTCTAAGGGCCCTGCTGCTTCTCGGCCAATTTGGGGTGTGGACCCTAGTGAGGCTGGTTAGCAGTTACCGTGGCCTTGCCTGGGTCTTTCCAAGGAGCATACTCCAGGAGTGGCAGTGGAGGGAGGCACAGGACACCCTCCACCATGCAGCTGCTTTTGGTGTTGGCACATCTTGGAGTCTCATTGTTAAGGAAATAGTGACTATGACACCTTTTCCTCCCAGCCAAGCTCATAGAAAATGCCTTTAGGAATTTGGAATATACCTTATCATCATGTGGCAAGGGAGAGGCAATGTGGGGAGAACAGAGATAGAGCCTGGGTTTGAACCTTGGCTCACTTCCTACAACCCGTGTGACTTTGAAGGAGTCTCTTAGACTCTGCAGTCAAATGGGCATCCATCAAATGGGTGTAATAAACCCCCCTTGCTGTCGGGATGAGGATTAAAGACTGAACACAAAGCTCCTAGCACGTGCCTGGTACCTAGGTGCCCAGTAGACAGTCGCCTTGTTTTGTTTTTGTTGTTATAATATGTGTCATTAATAAGCAGTAACCTACATCTTAGATGTTAGGGTGCAGGAAGTGGTATACAAGGATCTTTAGCAGAGAGTTTGAGACATTGTTGTCAGGAAGGAAAGAAGGCTTGTGACCTAGATAGAGGAAGGTTGGCACCCTCTGATCTACAAGTTGAAAGATGAGAAGCCCCTCCCCCACCCTGTCCTCTCTTTGGATGGGGTGGTTGAGTGGGAACACTTAGCAACTTGAAATGTGCTGCTGTTTGGCCTCCTGAGGTTGTGCATGGCGAGGATGGCCCTCGAGCCATGTTTGTACCTTGGGGCTTCCTTGGGGCTCCATGGGAACCATAATTCTTTTACTTGGTTTTTGTTGTTACATTGTACCTGCTGTGTGTCTCCCCTCACTGACTGTGTTCACTCTCTTCCAGGGGCTCCACGGGCCTTACCCCTTCGGCCAATCTTAAACGGGTGTCAGCAAGAAGAAAACTTAACAAAAGACAGAAGGCCTGACTTTGGTGGGGGAGGGCAAGGGGTTCCTCTGGATTGCAGACCACGTCGCATGGACCCCTGGCTCTGACCCGCCCCATCCTGGAAGAAGAGGAAGAAGCAGAACAGACTAGTTTTGAGTAAACTCAGTATGCATGTGTGAATGCTGAATCGCTGGAATGGTGTTGAGGCTACCAAGAAGAAACCCAGGCAGCCACCTTGGGTTCTGTCTATCAGGCACCATCTAACAAGTCATAGGTCACTTGGGAAGGGAAAACAAATTTAAAATGGGGGGAAAAAAGCCATCTTTTTAAACAAAAATTATTTTGCCTGCAGACAGGTTGTAGTTTTGAGCACATGTTAATTTTTTCTCTTTCCCCACTTTTATTTTTTTAGATAAGGGATAACGTACTCTGTAGAATAGCTGCTTGCCCTGGAAGCGATTCAGGTTAAGGCTGGTGTGGCGTGTTTGGGGACTCCGCGGGTCAGTGCTGCAGGAGGACCTCGGCCATGCCACGTGACTCCACGAGTCTTTGACCCCGTTTGTTTTCAGTGGCATCAGCCAGTGACTTATCTGTCACCCTTTTCCTCCTCTCTTCTCTTTAATCTTCTGTTGATTTACACCTTTAACATTTGTACTCGTCAACCCTGTGGCTTGTTACCATCAGAACCTCTCTGAAGACCAAACTTCCCTGTGTGGCCCGCAGAGGAAGCCTTGAGGACAGGTCTCGGGTGACGTGGGCGTTTCTGAGCCCGAGAGGTGTCCTTCCGCACGCACTTGTAACAATTCAAATTGCTTTTTGTCCATGTTTCTCTTGTCAGAAACGCCGTCATGCTTACTGCTTTTTTGGCTTCTTCATACGCAGTGGCCCCTGTTCACTCTGCGAACAGTGCCTCGTGCTGCATAGCTGCGTGTGCCACGTGCACACACATGGATGTCGGTGCAGCTCACCAGCGAGTGTGCAGCCGGCATGTGTGAAGGTCCCATGCTTCTCTGTTGTCACACAACTCCCTTCCCTGTGTTTCCTCTCAGTTGTCTTTTGGGGTGTTTTCACAGCCTGTTAGTGGAGGCTGAGCTGTCAAGCTATGAAAATACAGCCACAAATGGGGAATTTGCCATGGGGAAGGGCCACAGTTACTGACTGATCTTGGAGACCACATTTTGGTGGAAATGAGAGAACCCCCGCCCTGAGCAGGACGCCTGGTTTTTGGGCGGTGGGCGAGGGGCAGGCAGCCCAGCCAGAGCAGAGGCGTGTTGGCTGGCCTCTCACTTGGGCAGGTGGCCCCAGTGGGATTCTGTGGACTCCTAGCAGGTTGAGGTGTGGGTGTCTCCATGGGAAGCTTGAACCAGGCTAGAACAGCTGTCTGCCAAAGATACAAGAATATGCAAAGTCCCTCTTCTCTTCTCACCCCCTCCTTCCCTCGAGTCTTGGTTGATTTGACAGCTGCGATATGGATCTAGGGTGCGGTTGCCTGCCTGTCGCCACACCCCCACCCACCCCAGGGGTGTGAGACAAGCAGGGAGACCAGGTGATGAGTGGCTGCAAGGGGTCCTATAGCCTGGGTGTGGGTGAGGGTCTGCCTGCCTGTCTGTCTCTGTCTGGGTGTCTGAGTTCCAAAAATGTGTGTTGTTTGTTCCTCCTCATCCTCTTCTGAGACTGTTGTTCTTTAAAGCTTGATTGTGGGAGAAAAGCTTATATGAAATTACCCTTTGCCTCCTCCCCTCCCCCCAAATAAAAGGGGGAATAAATTTTGGTCCACTGGAGAAGCCCTGGGGGAGAGTGGAGCCGGCCTGCTGAGCAGAATAGTGCATCTAGGTCTGAGGCTGGACAAGGGGTCACTGGAGCACCCACTTTCTGTGTACACAAGGAGTGCCCCATTCCTGAGCAGAGCAGACTGGAGTCCCTGTTCGGTGCCCAAGCCACCACCCAAGCCAGGGGTTCATGATGGCTTTTTGTCTGAGGTCCTTGTGAGGCCCAGACTGCCGCTACTGTTGGTGCCAACCTCCTGGGACACCACCACCCTGGAGCCCACCCTTGCCCAACACTCTCCTTGCTTGATGGCTCTCAAAGCAGCACATCTCCAGCTGTCCCTAGCAGCATCATGGGAGGCTTTCCATCCCCTGGCTTCCAGGCTTCCTCCTCTTCCCTGTGCTGGGAGCTCCTTCCCTCTCTCCCAGGAGGGGCTTCCTGCCGCCTTTCAGCTGGAGCTTCGTAGGCCCTGCCAGAGGCGTCCTGCTCCTCTTGCTTGTGGGCAGCCTGACCCGGCAAGGGAACTGTCCCACGCATGTTGGCTTCCTCCCAAGAACAAACCATTTCTGTACACGTCCTTGGAGAGGTGAGCTCCTTACAGAGGGCCAGGGAGTAGGGGCCGGGAGTCCACTGCTCTGCCAGGACCAGGGGCCTAGCAGTACCATTCATTTGGCCTCTGAACATGCCTAGGGCCCCTCCTCCCCTGCTAATGGGATGGCAGAGGCCACGCTCTCAGCCCCAGTAGCTTCTGCTTCTCTTCACCACA